ATGGCTCCCTGGGGGGTGGATGTGTCACAGCGATGCTGCTGTCCGACCCAGGACCCAGGGATCCCCAAAGTTACAGTAATCAGAGATGTGCTAGCAGGGCCTGTCACAGTAGCCTCTGCCTTCAGGATCTGCCAAAGGGGCGCAGTGCAGAGTACAGGGGGCTGTACAGAGACAGGGAGCCTGCTTAAAGCAGCTGACAGGCCAGTTCCCCAGCCATTACCTGGTTGGAAGGTTTCGATATCTGCATACTCAGAGTGCAGTGACAGACTCGGTCAGGGCCACCTTCACTGAGTGGTATCCCGGGAAGCTGAGCCTAAACTACATTTTTCTTGGAGCTGATGAGTTTCAGTGTCTGTTCTGCTCTTTGGGGAGGGGCAGTGATCTCAGCTTGAGGTCTTGGCTGGAACCGGACCAGGTGAGCAAGGCAGGATGGTGAGAAGCCCCAGGGAGCAAGGAGGTGCATGTCTGTGGCTTTGTCTGCATCCCAGGAAACACCCCAAAGGGGGTCTTTTGTGACCGTCCTGCCCTCACAGGGCTAGGAGCTTATAAAAATCAAGGAGAGAGAGAACTCACATCCTGGATACAAAATTTCCAAACCCGGGTGCGTCTAGACTGGCAAGTTTTTGTGCCAAAACAGCCGCTTTTGCGCAAAAACTTGTCAGCTGCCTACACTGGCCGCTTGAATTTGCGCAAAAACACTGACGATCTCATGTATGATTGTCAGTATTCTTGCGCAAATACAGTGACGCTCCCGCTCAGGAAAAAGCCCTCTTGCGCAAAATGCTTTTGCGCAAGAGGGCCAGTGTAGACAGGTAAAAACTGTTTTGCACAAAACAGCCCTGATGGCCAAAATGACCACCGGAGCTTTCTTGCGCAAAACCGCGTCTAGATTGGCACGGATGCTTTTGCACAAATGCGTTTTTTGCGCAAAAGCATCCGTGCCCATCTAGATACTCTTTTCCGCAAATGCTTTTAACGGAAAAACTTTTCCATTAAAAGCATTTGCGGAAAATCATGCCAGTCTAGACGCACCCACCATATTTTGGGGGGAGGTGGATCTGGAGGGGAGAGGCTTTCTTTGGATCCAATAGAGACCCCGCAGCAGGTGCTGGCCATGTGCATTCTACTAAAAATGTTCATGTCCTTGCTTGTCCAGCACGTGCATGTCTCGTACCTGAACAAGCTGAGGTGGCCCTCTGCAGCATTGCACGGGGAGCTCGTGTTCAGCTGATTGTCCACTCTGAGCCCCAACTCATTGTCAGAGTCCCAGATCCCTGGGGAGTGTCCCCTATCCACTGAGGACAGCTTGCATCCCTAGTTCCTAGGGAGAACCCTTTCTTGCATGAGCTGTATTAAAACACGTGTTGCTGAGGCAGAGCGAGACTGAGTGAGTTGCCCAAGGTCGCAGGAGAATTCTGTGGCAGAGCCTGGAACAGAAGCCGGCTCTTCTGAAGCCCAGACCAGCACATTAACCCTTCAACCACATTACCAAGGACTTAGGGAATTAAACTCATGTGACATCACTAAACAGGAGCCCAAGAACAATTTCTGTTCCAGACAATAACGCTGAGTCCTGCTTTCTCCTGGATCTGCTGAGGGACAAATCCATGGGTCAGGGCCCGGAGCAGGGTCATAGTAACCCCACATGACCTCCAAGCGTGATGCTAAATGGGATAATGTGACGCATAGGCCTAAAATAGGGGGAAGGGACAGCTCAGTGGTTTGAGCATTGGCCTGCTAAACTGAGGGTTGTGAGTTCAATTCTTGTGGAGGCTGTTTGGGGCAAAAATTTGTCAGGGATGGTACTTGGCCCTGCTGTGAAGAGACTGGACTGGACTCAATGACCTTTCAAGGTCCTTTCCAGTTCTAGGAGATAGGCAATATCCATTGATTTAATTTAAAAAGGACCACTGGGATCAATGGCAATCACCACAGCTTATCTTGCCTGTCAAAGTCCATCTGTAAAACCAGCCAGGTTGTTTGACCTCCCCAAGCCCAACTCCTGTTAGGCAGCTATTCCAGAACCTCATGGGCCCTGCCTCTCTCCTTGCCAGCCTCAGCTTAATCCTGCCCTGTTTCTCACCATTTGTTCTTGTGCTAACGCTATCATGTAGCTTCAGGGGCTTAGTCTCCCTGCCTCATGTTTACCCACCTGCCCGACGTATTTCTGCTGCAATTCTATCCCCGCTCAGCCTGCATTTTGTCAGGCTCAGCCAATCAAACTCCTTTAACCTCCTCGTAAGACAGTCCCTCTGTTATCCTGCCCATCCTAGCAGCCCTTCTCTGCACCTGTTCCAGCCTGAATTCCTTCCGGAATAGCATGAACAGATATTTACAGAGGTTGCCAGAGCCGGTCTCATCAGGGCTTCTCATAATCATTTTAACACTCCGTTTTCTCATCTCGCATGTTCTAGCCTCTTATTTGCCTTGTTCACAGCTGTGTTACATCACGGCTCACAGTCATCCTGGGAGTGACAAATACACCCAGGTCTTTCTCCTCCTCTCTTGTTTCCAAGTTACCCTTGTCTGCATAAGCAGGATGTAGTGAGTAGGAGCAGGGAGATTGCAAGCTGATGTGATGACTGTGTGCAAGAACCATCATAGGGACCAAACACCGGGTAATAATGGGCTCTTTAATCTACCAGGAATAAGTATAAGAAGAACTAATGGCTGGAAGCTGAAGCCAGAGGAATCGTATTTGTAAACAAAGCAAACAATGTGGATGCTGAAGCAGTGAAAAGAATTCTCAAGTAATGTGATAGATTCTCCTGCTGTCTTCAAATCAAGACCAGGTGCCTTCCTGGAAGACACTTTAGATCAGGGATCTCCAACCTTCTTAAGCACAAGATCACTTTTTGAATTTAAGTGCAATCTAGGATCTACTCCAAACCCAAACACCTTTGCCCCGCCTTCTCCCAGCCCCTTCTCCAAGGCCCCGCCCCTACTCACTCCATCCTCTCTTCCTCCCTCATTCTCCCTCACTTTTATCAGGTGGGAGGTAGAGGGTTGGGGTGCAGGGAGGGGAGATGCAGGCTCGGGTCTCGAGCTAAAGGATTTGGAGTGTGGGAGGGGCTCTGAGCTGAGCCTGGGGCAGGGAGTAGAGGTGTAGGAGGGGGTTCAGGGTGCAAGGTCTGGGAGGGAGTTTTGGGGCAGGGGGACTCAGGGATTGGGCCAGGGTTTGCAATACAGGAGGGGTTCAGAACTGAGGCTGGGATTCAGGATGCAGGCTCCAGCTGGGTACTGGTTTCTTGGTGGTAGTGCAGTGGGGCTAAAGTAGGCTCATCCCTGCCCTGGGCCCATACCACTCCCAAAAGCAGGCAGAAAACTCTCTCCATCCCTGCCCCCCCTCTGCTCTGTGGAGGTAAGAATCAGGGTGTGTTTAGGGGCACCCTGACATCATCAGCCCCTCAGCTCCCAGGGCTGGAGGAAACCTCCAGGGCAGAGAGCAGGAGCAGCACTGTCAAAGGTTCCAAGATCTACCAATCGATCCTGATGGACTGGGTGGTGACCCCTGCTGTAAATGAATACAGTTGTGCAAGACAAGCCATTGGAATCAATAAAGAGGTAACTGGATGAAATTCTGCAGGAGATTGGCCTAAATGATCTAATATTCCCTTCTGGCTTTAATTTCTATAAATCTGTGAATCACTGTCTGGAGGGGATAGCAACAGGTTGCTGCTCTGATTGCTGACAGGCGCTCAACAAAGACACACCCTGACCAAGGAGGAACAGAAGAGTCACCGTAAAACTGGGCTGTGTGCTCCCTCTTTACTTGACACCTGGGCCTTTTGTGTCTTGGAGGGAGTTTCACAATTTAGTCAGGACGGGCGTGGGGACAGCCAATAAGGAAGTGTTACTGATTCCTTGTCATAACACAGGAAGGAGGGAGCTCCACATGTAATTAATAGGAAGCAGGTGCAAAGCAAGCAAATAGGCGTATTTCTTCACATGGCGCGCAGCCTGTAGAACTCTACCCCACAGCATCTTGTGAAGGCCAAGACTATAGCAGTGTTCACAAGAGAGCTGTATAATTCAGAGGCCACGTCCATGAATGGATGGCTAGACAGGTGCCCCAGCCACTGTTTGCCAGAAGCTCAGAGTGGGCATCAGTGCAGGACTCATTTGATAACTCCAGATTCTGATGGCTCCCTCTGGGGCATTGGATACTGTTGACAGACAGGTCACTAGACTGGATAGATCTGCACAAATGGAGGAGCTGGGGAAGGAATTTGAGCCTGAGTCTTTTGCCAGGACTCCTGCATGTCAGACCTTCCCTCGCACACACACAGCTCTGTGCAGAGCGGGCTCAGCAGGTGTGCGCCGTGCAGAGCCATCAGCAGGAGCATGGGGCTGGGGAGCTGCTGGACCAGCATCTCCTGCGGCTCCTGCATAAATCATGTCTCTCACATGACTGAGTCACAAGCTCCTGGATGAGGGTGTGGGGGAAGGTGGATGTCTGTGCTACCATGAATAACCCCTGCCCACAGCTGGTGCTGTCCCATGGATCACACAGCACCCAGAGTGTTCAGGAGGAGGGCAGGATTGTGACCATACAACAGCTCTGCAGCTGTTTTCATGGCCCATGCATGGTTAATAAGAGATGGGGGCAGAGACAACACAGTGTAATAAGACACAACGTCCATATCCCTTCTCTTTATTGACTGTATCAACAGGAATTCCAAGGTTACAGCAGTTATTGATATGGCTTGTTATGTGCAACATCCCACCTGTCCCCTGGCTCTCCATGCACACTGTCACCTTGTAAATTTTCCTTCCCGCCTTGGTCTCCATCCTCCCCCACCCTATTGTTCTCTGAAAACTCACCAGCCCTTCTTCCATTGTTCCAGGCTTTAAATCCCACCATAACCTCTCTCTACAGAGTGGATATCAGTAGGCCATATTGTCTCAGATGTAAGGGTCTAGGATGGAATAGGAGGAGGTGACCTATGTGTGTTGTCTCCCACATCATGAGCTCTGGAGCCAGATGGTGAATGGAACCTTCATTTGCTAAACACCTTGATTATACTCGCACGAAGGTTTTTGCTTTTGATGCTGTACACTAGTGGGTTCATCAGGGGTGGGACCATCAGGGAGATGTAGCTCAGTAGAACTGGAAGCAATGGAGAAGAACCTTTCACAAATCTATTTATCACAGAGATGCTGATCTCGGGAATGTAGAAGAGCAGGACGGTGCAGAAGTGGGAGACGCAGGTGTTCAGAGCCTTAAGGCACTCCGCATGGGTGGCGATGCTCAGCACTGTTTTGAGGATCATTACATAAGAGAAGAAGATGAGCAGCAAGTCCAACCCCATTGTTAAGATTTTAATGGTCAAGCCATAGATGCTGTTGACGGTGATGTCTGCACAAGCCAACTTCATGATGTCTTGGTGTAGACAGTAGCAATGGGAGAGGACATTGGCTCGACAGTATTGGAACCGTTTCAGGAGAAAGGGGAGTGGGAATGTTACAGCCACCCCTCTTAGCACAAACGCCAGCCCCATCTTGGCTATTCTCGGCAGGGTTAAGATGGAAACGTATCTCAGCGGGTTGCAGATGGCGATGAAACGGTCAAAAGCCATCAACAAGAGCACAGCAGATTCCGTGCATTGAAGTGCAGCAATGAAGTACTGTTGGGCAAAACAAGCATGGAGGCCGATCTCCCTGAAGTTAAACAAGTACACGCCCAGTATGGTTGGCATGGTGGATATCAAATAGCCGAGGTCTGTGAGCGCCAATATGGAAAGGAAAATGTACATGGGCTCATGGAGGCTTGGATCTGTTTTTATAATGAACAGAATGACTGAATTGCCTACTGTCGAAATAACATATATGAAGCAGAAGGGGATGGAGATCCAGAGATGGACATCTTCCAGCCCAGGTATCCCGCTGAGAAGGAACACGGCATAGCTGAATGTGGTGTCATTGACAGCTGACATCATGTACTGGGCAGGTCCAAGGAGTTTTGAATTTTTCTTCCTGAAAGGAACGAGATTAGACTAATTTATAATTACAGAGTCTCAGAGGGGCAACCATGTTAGTTTGTATCTTTAAAATCAATCAGTAGTTCTGTGGCACCTTACAGAATAACCAAAGTATATATGAAGTGGGTTTTTCCCACAAAAACTCATACTAGATCTAGATCTGTAGCTAGATCTAGATCTATACTCATAGTATGTCTATATCTAGCTATGTCTGTATCTATCTATCTATAGCTAACATATAAAGGAGAATGTTTGTAAGTTTGTGCGCTAATAACTTGGACGCTATAAGAGCTACCGCAACCAAACTTTGCATGGGATAACCTTTCCTCCAGGAGAAGGTTTTGAGGGACTTTTGGACCTGATTGGGCCCGAGTTCAAGCTGTAAAAATCAAAAAGTAACCACCGCATTGCACTGCAGGGGCTGCCCTGCCCACCCTAGGTCTTATGCCCACCGCCTGCAGCCCCCAGTGCCATCTGGGACTCACCCCCTCCCACCCACAAGGTTACATAAGCGACCCTCTTTCCTCTCCCCCGTCCCGTGCCGGCACGCAGCGCCCTGACCCCCAAACGCACAACAGCTCAGGCACTCGCCCTGCTCCCTGCAGCACCTGCAGCCCCAGGCGCGAGCTGAGGTGCCCCCCTGTGTGTAACCTCCCCTCCACCCAGGGTCACACACCACCCCCTGGAGATGACACGGACCTATATTTTAATCCCTATAGAAATCAGTGCAACTTTTCTACCATTCAAAAAAAGATAACGGACTGCTGTTTTTCTACATTTTGTTCCTCCAGTTTCCCGAGCAACGCCGGGTAACTCCAGCTAGTCTATCTATATATTTAGATCTAGATTAGATATAGTATGAGCTTTCATGGGCAAAACCTACTTCATGAAATGAGCTGGAGTGGAAGTAATAGGAACCCAGAATTTATAACAGAAAGAGAAGGGAGGGGAGGTACCTGCCAATTGTAGGACTGGTGATAATGAGGCTAAATGGGTAGGCTGGAAAGGTCCCATATTTAGCTTTCGATGTAAATGAGGTTGTAATGGGACACTCCGATGCCCTGCTATGGAGCTGCTCCATCCCCGGCATTATGGGGCGAGACTGCTCTCCGGCTGCATCCCCGGCTCTGCTGCGCCTGCATCAAGGCCGTCCAGAGTGGAGCGCAGGATGCCCCGCCCCCCTCCACACAGGACGCCGAGCCGGCAGGTCGCGCTGGGAGGGCCTCACCAACGTAAGAGAGATCTGCTCCCACCCGACTCAGATGCACACGTGCAGCCGTGGCCCGGGGCTCGACGCGAGGTCGCCGCACCCCTCTCCCTTCAGATGCTGAGCCAGCAGGACGCTTCAAAAGGGCGTCACCAGCAGGAAGAAAGGGAGAGCGAGGAAGAAGCTCTCCAGGACAAAGGAGGGTGTTCCGGCTGTGGAGAAGGCCACCGACAGATCTGCTCCCACCCGACTCAGATGCACACGTGCAGCCGTGGCCCGGGGCTCGACGCGAGGTCGCCGCACCCCTCTCCCTTCAGATGCTGAGCCAGCAGGACGCTTCAAAAGGGCGTCACCAGCAGGAAGAAAGGGAGAGCGAGGAAGAAGCTCTCCAGGACAAAGGAGGGTGTTCCGGCTGTGGAGAAGGCCACCGACAGAGGGAGGTAGGAAGCGATCCAGGGCATGGCAGAGGATTGCCCGTGGGCTGGTGCTTTGCGGGTAGTTACCCCCACCAACCAAACCATAGGAAAGGGATTCCTCTGGTTCTTAGGGCCGTGGCTTGGGGCTCAAAGCGGGGGTGGGCCTGACCCCTCCTACTGCTCCCCCTCGGCCAGGGGTGCCGGTGAGGCGACCAGTTATAGACTCGGATCCCACAGGAATAAACCCAAGGGTTTAACCGCATGCCTAGACTGACATCTCACAAAAGGGTGGTGGGCACTATCTCGCCCAGGTGGGCGGGCCCCTGTCCGGGCAGGGGCGATGACCTTGGCTGTGGGGAACCACTACAGCTGGGTCACAGATGTGTTGCATGCAGGGAAAGCTGGCTTTATAATGCGACATCTGGTTAATGTCTTTGTTCAAGCTTCAGGGAAACAGTCTCAAATTTGCAGCTGAATGTCACTTTTGTACTCTCTCTCTCTCTCTTATTGGTTAGTGAAATTCCTTTGTAGAAGAATAACTATTTTCAAATCCATTAATGAGTGCCGGCAGGTTAATATGTTCCCCTACAGTTTTATATGTATTACCATTCCTGATGTCTGACTTGTGTCCATTTACCCCTTGTCGTAAAGGGAACAGATTTAAAACTAATAAAAGAAAGTTCTTCTTCACACAGCGTGTAGTTAACCTGTGGAACTCCTTGCCAGAGGAGGCTGTGAAGGCTAGGACTATAACAGAGTTTAAAGAGAAGGTAGATAATTTCATGGAGGTTAGGTCCATAAAAAGGCTATTAGCCATGGGATAGAATTGGTGTCCCTGGTCTCTGTTTGTCAGAGTTCTGGAGAGGGATGGCAGGAGACAAATAACTTGATTATTGTCTTAGGCCCACCCTCTCTGGGGCACCTGGTGCTGGCCACTGTCGGCAGACAGGCTATTGGGCTAGATGGACCTTTGGTCTCACCCAGTACGGCCATTCTTATGTTCTTATGTCATTGACACTGTCCAGTTTGGCCAATAGTCATGGCAGAGAGGCATTGCTGGGACTTGATGGCACAGGTGACCTTTGAGGATGTGCAGTAGTATGAGCCTCTGATGTTTACAGAGGCATCGTGCTGCTCTCAGTGCAAGTCTAGAAAAATGACAGTCGGTCATACTTATTTAAGTAATAAAAACACTTTTTTAAGTTTTTGTGTAATATTTGGATGGCTGAAAAGGACAAAAGTGAACGATATTCAATGTTCTTATTTATACTTCACAACAGCGATATTAGTAAGTTACGTTAACCAACCCCCTGGACCCAGTCGCATCCTCCAGGTTCTCTAGTTTATGAGAAGGCAGCAGCGCAGGGGGAACATCCCCAGATGTCACTAGCCTGGCTGGGAGTGGAAGCCGCCAGAAGTCACCACCCTACTGCGACTTACTGGAACCTGCGGGAGATGGGTATCAGAGAGGTAGCCGTGTTAGTCTGAATCTGCAAAAGCGACGAGGAGTCCTGTAGCACCTTATAGACTAACTGAAGTGTAGGAGCATAAGCTTTCGTGGGCAAAGACCCACTTCGTCATGCATCTGACGAAGTGGGTCTTTGAGGCAGGAATAAATATGCAGGCCAGGATCAGGCTGGAGATGACCAGGTGGATCCAATCAAGGAGGATGAGGCCCACTATTTCAGATTTGGTGACAACATATACCTCCAGACCAGTGGCACTGCTATGGGCACCCGCATGGCCCCACAATACGCCAACATTTTTATGGCTGACCTGGAACAACGCTTCCTCAGCTCTCGTCCACTTACACCCCTTCTCTACCTACGCTACATCGATGACATCTTCATCATCTGGACCCATGG